TTCGAGTTTTGGAAGGTTCGGCAAATTCTACGATACAGATTGAGGGTCGAGCAGTGTGTTAAACTTATTAACCATTTTACCCTGTACGTGTATATGTTATAACTTAGAAAACAAATCTTCTGGGATTGTATCACTGGGGATGAAGACGAACCACACCGGAATGCTGACATAGATTGAACGTGGGTTTATTGTCACTGTCTTAAAACCCTGTAAACTCTGTATATGCCAGAGTTTTTTAACAATAAGTAGGATGATCATCAATCAGTGTACAGGTCAGTTTTTATAAAATTTGCTAGGATTGTGGGCTATTTAGAGGTCACAATTTGTCTTCTATTTGTTACTGAATTCAAAGATCAAAAGACTTTAGATGGCCGTTGTGGCTCTTGCTTATACGCAAAATGTGTATGTGTCTTGTTAACGTGATGCCTTTTAATGCCAAAATTTGGTGTGATAAATTAGGAATATATGAGCGTGAACGCTATCGATAATCGGCATATGGAGACCTTCCGTTCCGGAGCCCCGCCCCTCCCACCCCCCGTTTACTCTATTGCAGACCAACCATATCGATATTCAGCTTTCCGCGACCTTCCGTTCCGGGGTTACAACCAATGTTCTCCGATGTTCTCAGCGAAAATGTGGGCGTATCTTGTCTGCCAACCACTAGCGTTATTAGCATGCGGGGCTGTTTTCGTCATTTGAACTGAACTCTAATATTTTACAAATACAAATACAGTTGAATAGGCCTTTCACTGAATCTATAGGTTTGGCCAATATAATTAACTGAGCAACCCCACCCAACCCTTAATCCTCTTCTTCAACAGCCAATATGATCAGGATGCCAATTAAAGTTTTGTAATAGTACATTCATTTCAACAACAAAACCATTAAAATAATAAAAAGCAAAACAAAATAAAATTCTGTCCATTATCCATGGTAGTACCGAGAAGCGCCCCTTTCCCAAAGGTTCGACGAAAGACTAATTGGCAACGGTTCAAACCATATTAATAACGATATGAGTTGTGATGGTGTTACTACCATGCATGAAAAATAATACAAGTTATATTAGCTATTGGGAAGCATGTGACCTAAGTATGGAAGCCGAGAACGCCAAAGTAGAAGTTACAAATTATAGATATAGGCTTCCATGCCGAAGAGTATACACGACGTGATAGTAATTATGATATAGCTTGCAACACATGGGGAAACCCTAATTTAATTGATCTATATTAAATTAACTAATAAACATAATTGCTTATATCGCCCGAAATTGTTACTGCGAAATGTCGAATCGTATGAAGAAATAAGACTTTCATCGTGTTTAGTGATCCATACGTTAAGCACAAAGCTGGATCGATCATCTTATAAAATCGCTAATTACCAGATTTCCACAGTTACACAAACTATTCCATATACTGATGCAGGCGCAAAAATTCGCTGTGTATTTTTTTTTTCTTCACTTTGCAGGCCTATTATGTTTTGGTGTTTAATATCATGGAAGGAAATCACCGTTATCACGTACGGAGAACACATTTCAATGACGTTATTAGTTTTTAATTGCTAATATGTTTCCCTTTAATAAAATAGTTGCTATCTTCTTTATGTTATTATAATTACAAATACATAGTTTTAATGACATCCCCGCGCATTAAAAAGCGTTTGTATACTAGTATATATTAATAACTAATGGTATTCTTAGATTTAGTATCGTCATTATCAATCATACAGATGATACTAGAGAACAAAAAACACAACATAATCAAAAAAATAATTTAAGCAGTTGTGGTATCAAGAACAGAAAATGTGCCATGACCTATGTGTTAGTGTGTAGTGTTTGTATTTATTGCATATTATTTTGGTATTTGGTGTATTATCTGTAGTTTACCCCGTTATGGTTCTCCACAATAGCACATCTAATCTGTACTCACTTTTAACTCACTAAACTAGTTTCTGAACCTTACATGGAATCTAAAGAATTTTAAATTTCGTTTTTTATTTTATTCCAGAAATTTATATCTGATTCTAATAGTAAATAAATTTAAAATAACTAAACCTTCAAAAAAAAACCCACCCCAAAACACGCGGACGACAACAATCACGGACTCCGTAACATATCAATTCGATATCAAACCAGTTGATCCACAGCGCAGTGAAAAAAAACCCTATATATTTGTTAATTTTGTAACCATATTCAGCATAATGAGTATTGCCGCGCAGGGTGGTCGCTGTGATTACGTTGCACTATACGTTTTCCACCGTTCATTAGAATCATCTCAAGGCGAGAGGTGAATGACAGATACTTCCGGTACAGCCAATCCTTAATAGAAAGGCACTTCCTCTTTTGTTGATAATGGACATGAGAAAGCAAGCGATAAACCATTATTAATTTGTTTTTTTTTTCTTTTAAAAAAAGTACAACAGGTCGGGTAGGTGATATATAAATGGATGCTGAAAAGACAATTATAGCAAAATGTTTATTTGAAAAAATCTAAATGATCAGACTGTATTACTTAATCCATGTTAAATGTTCATGACTCCTCGCATTAGAAAAGTCATGTTTAATATGGGTATGTTCTTCAAATCCCGTATACACCATGCCTACGCCAAACACTTGGTATCGTAGAAAAGAGAATTACAAAATAGGGTAATTGTAGAGATTGCACAATAGTAAAGTAGTAGCAGGTGATCTGACCCGCCACGACACCCACAACTATTATGTAAAATATGAAACGAAATTTTGATTGGAGTATGTTACTGCATACTATATATTATAAATGGACCTTAACGACAGGAAAATTAAAATCTTTATCCTAGCCATAAATTCACTAAGTTTACTAATGTCACGAAAGTCGACTAACCACTTTGCGTACGAGGGGTAGGGTCTCCATGGGATTCCTGATTGGGTGAAAGAATGAAGACAGATTACATCGACATCCTTTTAGTAGTCTTTAAGAAAAGATCAACATGTACCTGTCAGTGAAAATGACATTGTAAGCTCTGTATATTTTGCATAAACATTATGGAAGTATAGCAGAGAACCTAGGCTGCATTTTTAAGCCGGTGACAATCTCTTTGACGGAAATTTTTTTGTGTGTGAAATAGCTTTATTTAACGTCCGCTTCCACCGAAGAATGTGCATTGAAGTTTTTCATTCAGACAAAAACTTAAACTACAATACATCAGTTGGCAGGCAATAAAACTGGCGTTGCCATGGAATTATTTAAGTGTTATATGTGTACAAAAAAAGTTAATACTAAGGAACTGTCAGAGGCTAAGAGACGATGTACTACTGAAGATGAAGGATAATCAAGAGTAATCTTCTATATCGAACTTGCAGTTTATTACACACTAAATAAACCATAAACGCGTTATTGGTCGACATAAAAAAAAATCCGCTTTATCAATATACAAGTAAAAGATACATTCATCGTAATTCATCATGATTGATTGTAGAATTCTTTAAATTGTTGAAGCATATGGTTTTATTAAAGATGAAAAAACGTTTGATGGCTGTTAAATTATTCAACTTGTACAAGACTAAAAGTCTGGCATAACCCAGTGTCCTAGACAGGATATTCATAGAGAGGGGGTTGGGATCTGTTGAATGACCAATGTCTCTGATTCTTTGCCCAGAGTTAACGTGGTTCCTTATATTGTCGCTATCCGTGTACGCCTGTTAACTGACCCAGAGTTGTACACGTAAGTGCAAACGGGTTCTACATTATATAAATCTCGGCATTGGTAGATCTTTTGCCTATGACAAAAAACCTTAATAATTCCACGTGGACGCATTACAGACGATATTTTCATATATAAATTTATTTATCTAAATTTCTGCAGAGCGAAAGAAACAAAACAATTTTCAATACTAGTATATGGTGCACTGCGTATCTCAAAAACTGTGTTAAAACACATATCCTCTGAAACAGTGCAACAGAGAAAAGACACTCAATAGTTAGCGACAAAACTTGTACTGAATGCATTACGCTCAATCCAACAAATTCTTCTGTAGATCTTAACAACTATCACGAATCAGACAGCATGGATTCTCTCCATCGTCAATTTCATTTATTGCACATAGACTTACGTGCCATTTCAAACCAAGCTGATTGCAAGATACCGGAATTAGAAACAAAAAAGATGTCTGCTTCCAGCTCTAAACGAATTCGAAACCTAATTGCCCTTCAATATACAAAAAGTGGCCATCCAGAAGTTTTTATCTGGGCTTTCCAAACCACATGACTCCATACTCAGACGACTTATTTTTCCTAAAGAAGATATCTCAAAATTTAATCTTAAAAGACGTCGATGACGGAAAGAAACTGCTTTAATTGGGGATGAGTTACACTTATATATTGTGATTAAAACATAAAAAACATGGTATTGTCCAATGCATGTGTATTACCAAATGCTATGCTGACCCAGGATGACTTTACTAACCTGGCGATCTAAGGTTCAGTCAGGATTTGCCAGATTAAGAACGGAGTCTAGTCATTTGGATGGTACAGGTGACAGGTCCCGTATACACATTGACATGCACGTAAAAGAACACTATTGACAATTAGTGTTCGATAAAGAGTAGGCGAAACGGCCTCCTCTGTCCGGACAAAAGTTCATTCATGACGTATGTCTGTCTTCATTAGCACTTGTTGGTACAAACACGTTGAGCGCAAAACCCCATTTCATTTCATTCTGTAATACAAATCAGGCAACAAAAGATCATATAATTATTTATGTTAGAGAGACAAGACGACCGATTCAAGTTTTCGCTTCACCAAAGCTATTTGACTTTCTGGAAACAAAGAAAAGGTATTGAAAAATTCACCGATTACACGTAGAAAAATTAGTCGTTAATTATAATTAGAACATATAATAAATTACAACCTCGTGGGAGCGTTTTGGTGTCAGTGGGGAGGTCGTGATACATTTGTTACGCTCGTTGTATAATCTAACTAATGTCTAAGTGGGATGGAGGCAGAAATGATTAGGATGCGGAGCGACGGTCTCCAAAGACCCATCAAGTAATTATTGACATCAACTAAATAAGCGGGATGCGTGGCTGTCTTGGCAGTATTGTCATAAACTAAATCAGCTTTATTCCTACACACTCGCTCTATCTGATTCGCTATATAAATAGAATATAAGGAGGCAACAGGTATTAGGATAGTTGATAAACTCGACAGATACTAGTCACCAAAAGTAAGTCTTTAAAGCTTTCATATTTGTATACCTAAGTATTTACTTGCTCATGTATATATTCTTTTTCGCATTTTAAAAAAGGTATTGAGAGTAAATGTATCTTGTTTGAAGAGGCACTATCACTCTGACTAACAAAATAATTTTTTTTTATTAATTTTATGCAATATCGTATGTAATAAGCGAAAATCCATGCACTTACGTGTACAGCTAGTAAATTAAAAGATGAAATAAAATGCATAAAGCTAAGCGATGGCCACACCACGGCAAAAATGTTTTCCAAATAGGAAATACTGTTTTATTTTCTCTTGTTTTAACTGTTTTAACAAAACAAATTTAAGATGCCTTTGACAAAATTGTTTCAGCAATATAAAAATCGAAATATTTTGAGAAAAATATAACAACATACACAAAATGTATAGTTTCAATAACGGTTTGGTGGGTGATATAGTCCACTTCAAGTACTTTAACGGCTTTGAAAATGTTTTTAGTTTCAGGAATAATTCTAAGTTGTAACATATTGATAAATATACTCTTCTAAAAAAGAAACGCATAGCCCATTTATTATCATTTTACTTGTTTTTAATGTCATTATGTAAGGATACTGGTCATACTTTTTGCCGAAATTTATTTTCGCTTGATTGCACCAAGACACTTGAGTTTAACAACACTTCGCAAGCTTTTCACGTGAAACCCAAAACAAAGGCCTTTATAATCCCAGGGTTTTTACTGCGATCGCTTCGCTTTTCCACATAAAGCCAGCGGATTCTTTTTCCCCACGGTTTTTTTTCTACCCGTTCTGATGACGCCAAACATCAGTCAGCTGGACCTCCACACTGATCAGCAGTGAATATTCGCTAGGCCGCGACAGTCACTGATAAGGATGACATCGATGCGACTTAATGAGCCACAAATATTAACTTTTTTCCTCCGACAAATTAAATTCTAAAAAATTTTTTGATGTATTAGAAAAATAAATAAAGACGTTTGACGTATTTGTAGGTAAAAATTATTTCCTATTTAGTGTAAATGGGTATTAAAATGAGTAAAAGGCTCCATTCCGCCCGAACCAGTAAACAATGCACGCGCCATTGAGCCAATGATTGACACCGCGTGATGAGACATCACGCGTTCAAGGTAGTCATCTTTTACAGTGATATTAGAAGACTTTCGTAATCCTCTGTGAAACAGATTGCTGGACCTCCTATTCTAACTTTATTGTGACAAAGGGAGAAGATGACCCGCCCTCTCTTCTCACGACAGCGAATTTATAAGTGTGTTTTAAGAAACTTTTGATATCCGAGGACTTTTTTATTTTGTGTTTGTAACAATTTTCAAGTGTAAATAATTTAATTAAATCAACCTGTCCATAATATCATATTTATTGTATTGGACGTTAAATCTGTAATAAACAACAACAACGGTTTCAAAATCAATTGCACATATGTAAACACTCAACGAGCCACATCCGAACGAATCTGTCGCTAACAAGTAGGTGGGCCCCAGACAGATGTAGCCAGGCTGCTGAATGTTTCCCAGAGTATCATCTCTCGCCTTTGGGATATTAAGGTACCGAAAGCGAAATTCAAAACCTGACCGCCCAAACTCAGGCCAAACAAGACTGTCCTCGCCTGCCCTGGATCGCCACATCCGGTTACGTTATTTACGGAAACGGTTCACAACGGTGACCTCTACTGCAGCAGCAATTCCTGGGCGACGTAGGATCTCAGACCAGACAGTCCGCAAACGTCTATGTGAAACCGGATTACGAGCCAGGGGCCTGTTTCACGAAATTTTAACTAAGATAAAATCCTAATTAGTAATTTGATTGGATAATATTAGACTGATTTTAGTGCTTAGCCAATCAAAATTGAAGTATCTACTAAAATTTGGATTTTAACTTTAGTTAAGATTTCGAGAAACAGGGCTGCTGTTTTGAAATACGCTAACATTGTCAAATCCGAATTCAATGGGTTCAGACACACAGGCTATGGCTACAGCAACGCTGGAGAACAGTTAGGTTTAGCGATGAGTCGCGGTTCCTGTTGCAATCAGGCGGTGGTAAAGCGAGGGTATACTGTTTTTGCAGAGTATACAAAGACATTGAATTTTGAATGAATAATTGTTTTTTTTTCGCTCGCCTAAATTTAATAATAGAAACGAGAAAAACAATAAATGACTTTGCATCGTTACATAGTAGATCTGATTACAATTAAAACAGAAACACTAGAAAGTTCCGTTCTATCCAACCTGTTCTTATTCTCATGAGACATATCACATATTGGTTTCAGATATATCATCATCATTACATATATTTAATTACCAATACCATTAACAGTAATTAATATTACTTCTAAAGTAGATAATAAAGTTGCAATATTGTTGTTGACTTAAAACTCAACGAAATCGAATCTGTGTGATTGAATTATTTCAACGTTAAATGAAGCTATTTCACCTAAGAGATCATGAGACCGTTTAACATTGTTCAAATTAATCATTATTGTGTCAATTTTTTTTAATTTCAGAATATGAAACCTGTAACAAGTTTAGTTTTTGTGTCGTGCCTGTGCATGGTGTATGTTTCATCTTCAGCGTCACCTTTAAAAAGTAAGTGCGTTGTTTATTTTTAAATGGTTGGGTTATTTAGCAAAACTTCAATTGTTTGGAAGTTTTTAAAACAACAATCACATCAAATTATAATCTATTTCGTTTATTCCTCGTGGTTCTTATTTTGTACATTGCATATAAGTTCTATTATTTCCCCAAAGGTCTACTCATCTTGTTGGTTATTCTTCTAATACTAGTCGGCAGCAATCCGTCAATTCAAGTAAGATCGACGTCAAACTTGGACAATATGGCGCCAAAATGGCGGTTATGACATCGTGTTTGGCTCATACTATGAGTCATCGTACATACAATACTATCGTATTTGATTTTATGGGAAGAACCCACAACAGTTTGAATTCGGTTGCTGTACGGTCAAAATTTCCCATATAACAACAGAACGTTTCATCCATCCATTTATCTCTCATATTCTGGAGAAAAAGACTGAAGTCAATAGTAAACTTAGAAGGACAGTATTTCAAAGAACTCTCAGCCCGTCAGCCCTAGCTTTGGTATTACGGATAGAATACAGGGAGGCGGGGGGGAGGCATGAGTTAAGACAATCAGATGTATTTCCCAACAATTCTAAAATTCCTGTGAAAGTTCATTGTTTTGAGCAACAAATATTTTTCTGCTAATATGAACGTAAAATAAAACCATCTTTAAGAGAAATGGAATATCATTTCGGTCAGTGCCTTATGAATAATTTAAGTATCAACGCCACTTTATTTATGATGCAGTGTACAGAATGAACAAGAAATGGTGAAATTAATCACAATGGTCACACTCCGGTTGATTATTCTAATCAAGACTGATTTTAGTATCGTGACAAATCTGTTATAAAAACGTACATATTATCATATGAGTTGAACACTTGGTATTAAAGTCGTTTATCGTCACTTGCCCTTTTTCTGACAATATCTAATTTTTTACGTGATAATCCTGGACTACTCAAATTGATTATTTAATGAAGAAAACAAAACTAAAATATGAATGGTAGATAATCTGACAGCGTAGATTCACACGGATTAATAAAAAAGATTATACTCACTGCTTATAAAACCCGGGAGTTGCAGAAACAGCAAACAGGACGGTTTTTATTTTGTTAAATTTTGAGACGTAAATCGATGTGAGTCGCTGCAGCAGCACGCATGTACTTATATTATCTTGTCTATTCACAGTCCTTGTTGTAGTATTCAGGTCAAGATGATCTAAGCAGTTTTATTTTAATTCCTTCAAGTTCCCGTTGAGCAGCACGTCATGTTAAAGGTTACCACGCTAGTAGTTCCTTGACACCGTTCCTAAAGCGGGAGTCACACTGTCCCGCAATTGACACAAGATGGACACACGATAGAGTAAATGTTAAAATTCGGCGCTGATCGTAAAAACATTGGGCCATTCGTGAAGGCATCTTAATCCATCGTACGACCTCCCGTGGAGTTTCTCAGGCTCCGACAGCAACTTCATTTTCGTTTTGAATTCGTGTGTCCATTTTGCCCTCCATAAGTCCATCTTGGGGGCATCTTGTCAAATTGCGTCATCTTTGTCTTTACTGCGTCTGATCATCGGTGGCATTGGGCATTCTTATTATACGCCCACATTTGCATGTAGACATATCGTCACCCCTGTCCATCTGTCTGGACGTCCGTGCGTCCACAATTTGTTTGTAGACACTCTACATGTCACAACTTGCATGTAGTCAATTTCGAGACAGTGTGACACCAGCATTAAGGAACTACCACTTTAGATATGTTACAGTGTCTAAATTAATTGAACTCACTGAAATGTAAGATTCCTGAACATAGTCAGATTTCACTTACCATATTAAAGGCTAATACAAACCGGGTGAATATGATGGATTTTAATAATTATTTATGAAATAAAATGATGCACGACCTTGTGATCTAGTAGGACGCTCTACATGCAATAAGAATCTTCTCGATAAACCTGCTGACAAGACAGAATATAATAAACAAATATAAAATCAAGTGAATGGATTCGGGCACCAGCCGTAAGCGTCCACTGCGCTGTACTGTTCTGGGCCTATAATGGTACAGGCTTCACTTAAATGAAAAAATAAAAACAAATGATTTACAAGAAAGAGGTAACAGAAATAATGCGAAATGCATTTTACAAACTTTAAACTAGATGACGTTTATGGACTGAAAATTACTATAATACACAAGCGATGTTTTTTGCCCAGACTAATAGTCATTACAGGGGCGGATCCAGAGTGGGGGTTTGGGGGGTTCCCCCCCCCCCCTGCTCAACTATACATAATTTTTTTTGTAAATCAACATTGTTTATGTGAAAAGTTTCTTGGCCGTGTGCTTTATCCTTTATCGTCAGATGTGGGACAGGATGGGCACTCAAAGAACGAGATAATGATATAGACATTATGTGATATCACAATTAATGCTTTGCATCCATGAAATTGAATCACAATGTCATTGTATTAATTCATAATAAAAATTGACGTCATACGAGGTGTTGAATTTCTCTGTTTAAAAAGCTCAATGTGTATGTATATACGCCAAAATGACGATAGAGACCATGCGGGAGGGGGGGGGGGGATACATTGTCTCAGGAACCTGGCAAACCCCCTCCTGCAAAAATTCCTGGATCCGCCCCTGCGTTATAATGGAAGCTAAGACAGTATGCCGGATTATGTTATTCTAGGTTTACATTGTAGACTCTACATAAATATCACTGATCTGTGTGACATCAGTGGGCCACGATAGATGATAGGTTAGGGAACTGGAATCACGGGGTCGGTCGATAAGAACATCAGAGAGGCGTATATTGATATACGTGTAATGTAAAAGACGCATGACAATGATAAATGTCGCGGTGCGAGCATTTCCACCCACCCCCATCACCCAAACGTTTTACTCTCGGTATGTTAGCCTTATGGTGATTGCGTACATTGTTTATAGGCGGTCTCTATAGGCACAGCCATAGCGATCACTTGCGTCAGTTCTGAATCTGCCATCATCTCATAACCATACAGAAACTGTAATGTAGCAGTTTGAATAGCCACAGTTGTAAAGGATTTGTATTTTGTCGGATTATGCCAAAACCCAAGATTCCATTTACATATGGGGAACCACGGTTGCTAAGTGGGTAAGACGCTGGTTCGCTAGCCTGGGGGTCGTGTGTTCGATCCCTGCATTGGGCGAGAAAGTTCATCCAGATTTTCCGGCGTGGTTCCCCCTTGTCAGTGAAGCAGGACGGAGGGCCTGACAGGGACAGCTGTCTAGTCGTTCGGATGGGACGAAAAACCGAGGTCCCGTGTACACATTGGCGTGCACGTAAAAGATCCCTTGACAGTTGAGTATATAAGAGTATGCCGTAGTGCCGCTGGTCGGGCAAAATTTCCACATAGCACACTGTATGGCGTATGCCCGTCTTCATTGGCCCAGTTCGGAGCAGAACAGTAAGGCGTTAAACCCCATTCATTTCATTTCCATTTCTACATCTTACAAGAAAATATTCCTTGATTAAACCAACTAAGACTATGCTTCCTGGAAAAATTCACAGATGGAATAGGCCTATACGATGAAGAGAACCTAACAAAATTTAATGTTTCTGGAAATTGAAAATGAAACAATTATTCTTGTTACTGATTAATAGGTCAATATGTGCTAACGCGTTTTGTCACGAACCGATAAGGAGTCAAAAGGAAAATATATTATGCGTGCACACGAATTGTGTAATTGGACAGTTATTGTAATTTGAAGTATAGCTCACTAATAGTATGTTACAAATACTGTAAAAATAATGATTTTTACTAAAACAAGGGGGGTCAAAAAAACTGACTTTTTAAAACCCTCAAATTTTTCTTCTAGGCCACGGTGTTTGTCTAGAAGTTGAACGTCATTTCATTTCACTTCACACAATGTTAAAGTGTGTAAAAGAAACTTTGTCTGTTAAAAACAGAAGAAAAGAAAGTGGAAATGAGCTATCTAGCCAACACTCCCTCGCATTGAACACATATATCATAAGCATTTGTTCGTCCTTGAATTCTAATCCGTATGTGTTATTAAATGATACTCACAACCCATTTTATTTCATCAACACCACGCTACTAGATCCACTTTTCAAGGCTTAATTGGACAAATGAATAGAATTCATTTCCTATTTTTTGTCAAAGTTCAATTTATTAGCATGGTTTGATACATGAAAAAAGTACACATTTAAACTTCACTAATACGGTAACTGTAACCTGCCATTTTACGGTACAATTTACAAAGAGATTTCCATGTCTGTTTCATCTCTTGCGATAATGAATTATCGATAAGAGTTTTTTGTCTATTCATGAATCAAAAAAACCCTAAGAACTAAAGGAAGTTAATCCAGTAATGAACTGAGAGTTAACTTTGCCATTTTATTAAGGGGGTCAATTTTAGTCGGAATTATGCTCAGGTTGAGACTTTGAATATCCTTCATGATGTCGTGACAAACGGTAAAGTGACTTAACCCATTAATGAACTATCGTTAATTTTACTATTTTATCATAAAGATTTATTTTAACCAAAATTAAGCTCATGTTGAAGCCTCTATTGTCACTGAGCTACTGGAACTTTATGCCGAATGGCTCATGCACTTCATTTGTCACACGAATACTTCCAAAAAGAACAACTATAATGTTAGGTATACATTATACATTTTATCAGTAAATTGTTATTGTTTTGGAGTTGTCTGTATTGCTGGGTACTGTATTTGTCAAACATAACTGGACAAACCGCTAACATAAGCTGTCCATTCCGTGTATAATCTTTGGATGGAATACGCGCTTGTATTGATGACAGCCCTAATCTATCTGCAGTGCGTCTCATTCGCTTATGGGAGATGGGCGTCAGCAAGCAAAAAGATTACATATTGCAACCACAGGTCAGATACGCAAATATCTTTAAAACTCAGAACGACAGCAAGAGAATAGACCCTCGCGGTCATCGTAGTCCTATTAAACATCGATGTTATGTGCACCCGCTAAATCACAAGTTCAAACTGCCGGCAAGACATATAGACAAATGTAGGGTTTGAATGTAATTTTTTCAGCAGAACGCCAAGTCCCATCATGACCTTCTAATGAACGAAAAGTCACCAGTGAAGTACGTTGTGTTAACGTATTGGTCAGACTCTAGAATAGAATCATCCGATCTTACATCAAGACCGCACAAAGCAACACAAATTGTATCATAATCTAAGCAGAGGCCAAAATATGGGTACTGTGTATGTTTGCCCCATGTAATTCTACAGTTGTACTTGGATATTCCATATCTGAGTTCATTAAATAATCTACCTATTTTACGTATGTCACGTAAAAAAATGTTATTGATAAGATTTAAAGGCAGACAACGGAATGATATATGGTTTTAGAAAGAATCAATATGAGACAATTGGATTACAAGACTTTGATGTATATCTACATAAAACATAAAAACATAAAACATGCCAGTAACATAATAGATATTAACGGAGACAAGTCTCCAATTCAATATCATCCACAGTCCTCGACATTGCAAACACGAATTATTGGTCAATTTAAATCAATATTGATGTGGTTATCATACCGTTAAAAATATGGGCTTCTGATATTGGCACACGAATCGCGTGTCAGAATGCTTTTCAGTGCCATTTGTAATGAAGCGACTCGGTGAACGTGGCTAAACATATCTCACATGAGAATACTACCAATGTAGATTGGAATAACCAGACGCCAAAGACTGCTATTAAATTTAGACTCTTCGCGTATTTCGCCGAACATAACTGATTAGAAATTACAGTCAAGACAGAAACGACTGAATTTTAATCAGTTGATACAAATTCATATTACATTAGTATATGCGTTGCGACCCATTTGTGTTCATATCTAGGTGCCAAAGGAATTAGATTTAGCTCCTTTAATATTCCCTTTAAAAAAACAAGGTTTTAGAGTCGATAAAATTAATATCAGTCCGTGTTGTCTTTGCTCTAACAGAATAATTAAATACATTGAAAGAGTCGTGTGACCCCGCCCACCTCATTACTATTAATAGTAAATGCATGAGGACAGTACTACAAACAAAACCGAAAAGAAAAACTTGTGGACAAGACCCAAGCAATAAACAATAAATATCAAATGAAGTACATGAATTCGCGGCTTAGCCGTAGGCGTCCGCATCGGTTCTGCAATGAAACAGACTTCACTCAAAATGAAAAGCAAAATGGTGATTTACAACAAAGACGCCACAATAAGACCGGTCTGGACTGTGATCATCTTCTGAATGACGTCTTTTGAATAAAAATATCAGATCTTATATCAAGACGGGACACAGCAATAAATAATTTACACTTATTTACACTCAATTTTTATGATCGGACCACCACTTCGGGCCACAAATTATCAAGTATCATCGAGTGGAATACAGTATCCCCCCTGAACGAAATAAAGTAGTTACTTTTAGCTACACCGCTGCAGTTATGCTAAACACACTTTTTTTTAATGCAAACGCCGTTCCCAATAAAGATTTGTCGGCTACCTGTCGACAGAACTTCCCGTTGTGAACAAGACCTGGATTTCTTAATGTAAATCAGTTATGCAAGCTGTTTTAGTTTATAATTTTATCTTTCCATAATAACATTAGAGTAAACATGTTATACTTTTTTTTTTGCTTATGGAAGATTGCCTCAAGGGGTGTTGTTATGAACAGCATCTGCTACATGTAAAAGGTTCTTCAATGACTCATTGATTCTTGGCCATATTTGAAAATGACTATAAAACGTCCGTCTAATCAGATTATTGTCCTTTATTTCAGATCAAGATACAGGGTCCAAGTTGTTAAGTAGGTAAGAAAGTAACAGACTATTAATTGGAAGAGAAAATCAAGTGAGGTTTTGTGTTTTAAAAGCGGCGTAATAAAAATCACATATTATATTATTATGACCGATTGGCTAAAGAAAAAAGCATGAATTTTACTAGAACCGTGCTATTCTCGAAAAAAATAAGCTATAGAATAAAACCTACTTTCATCGAATACGAAAAACCTCGCTGATATTAAGTATAAATTTAAACAACCGAAACTATTGGTTGGGCATTAGTGGGTACCAAACTGTTTTACAGCTTTCCCATATCCTGCATTTTATATCATATCATAATGGAGGGAAAATCTTTTAGAAAGCTATCTTGTGGGTAGAAAACAATGTATTTTAGTTAATTGTAAATCGTCGTCTGAATCTGTTTTGTCATCTGGGGTTCCTCAAGGTTCTGTTCTTGGTCCGATTTTATATACCCTTTATACGTCACCATTGGGTGATATTGTCAGCAAATATGGTCTCAGCTTTCATTTCATTTATATATTTCATTTACACCTTATTGTCCATCTTCTTTCAATTTATCAAAATTGCAACTTGAGAACTGTATTAGTGAAATTAGAAAATGGATCTCGAAGAACTTTCTAAAATTGAATGATGATAAAACCGAACATTTGTTATTAGGCCCAAGGCATAAGTTACTGTCTGAACCATCGTAAAATGTAAGCGGAATTCTTCGATTATGAACAAGCTACTTAACTTTGGTTATTTTAAACTTACCCGTGTGTTTGAAATCAACTCCCGTTCAATAAAATCCATTGCACAACTAAGTATCCCAACGAGAATAAAAAAGTTATCTCTTGACAAATTTGACTATTTACTTGTAATTTCGACTGAGTGGAAGACAACAAAATAAAAGATACAGACAGTTATGTGTGTGAACGCTCAAACTCAATGCCGAGCCGAGACTGTTTAAATTATAGCTATAACCAAACTTGAATTTTCGTAAAAAGTACCGAAAACCGTTTCGATTTGTTATGCTGTGACCTCTTATACGAAATGATATCTCCCGAAGAGCGACATAATCAGCTTCCATATTTGTATTTTTCTGTGTCAAAAGTTTGTGCGATTTCAATTTTTGAAGAGAAAACTTTTTTACTCATTGGGATAATTAGATGTGCAATGGATTTTATTTAACGGCAGTTGATTTCAAACACACGGGTAAGTTTATAATAACCAAAGTTATGTACATGTAGTTTGTTCATAATCGAAGAAATCCGTTTAAAATTTACAATGGTTGTTGTAATTGGTAATTGAGATATATTTTCATCTTATTCTGCTCGTAATATTGGCGCAATCTTTGATAGTTTTATGCTTATGAGAGCTCAAGTAAATAATATATGTAAATTGTGCTATTTTAATATCAGAAATATAGGTAAAATACGTACATTTATAACTGTAAAGGCCACTAAGTCAGTTATTAATTCTCTAGTCACTTCTCGATTAGATAACTTTAATTCACTTTTAGTTGGTTTACCTTTAAAGCTTATAGATAAATTACAAAAAGTACAGAATACTGCAGCTAGACTTGTTACTTTAACTAAGAAATGCGACCACATAACTCCAGTTTTATATAATTTACACTGGTTACCTGTTAAATATCGAATTGATTTTAAGATTTTATTACATACTTTTAAATGTTTAAGTTTAAATAGTTTAGCTCCTGTTTACCTCTCAGATCTTTTAAAACTTGGGGGATTGGATGGCCGAATGGTTAGCACGTGCGCGCTGTACCATACGGCCTGTCATTGAGTCAGCTGGCGTGGTTTCGAATCCCCGGTTGTATGTGACAAGGAGTAGGGTCGCCTGTCAATCCTTGTGGGTTTTCTCCGGGTCCTCCGGTTTCCTCTCACTGCTAAAGACCCCTATGCGCACGCGAATTATTGAAATAAAATTAAACCATATGTTAGTCCCGAAATGACCTAGTTTGTATCGAGTGGACGTTAAACACATTTCTCTCTCTCTCTCTCTCTCTCTCTCTCTCTCTTAGAACTTTATACACCTGGCCGAACATTACGTACATCAGATAAACTACTTTTAAAGCCCAAAACTGTCCAACTAGTATCTTATGGTCAGTGCTCTTTTAGTTATCAAGCACCTGTTTTATGGAATAATCTACCATTTAGTTTAAGATGTTGTACATCTCTATATTCTTTTAAAAAACAAATTAAAACACATTTATTTAATCAGGCTTTTAACTGACTCTGTATACAATCATTAACATGTCCATCTTGTTGTTTATTTATGATTATATTGTCACTTTGTAAAGTGCCCCTGAATATGTTATATGAAAGGGCGCCCTATAAATATGCTGTAATAATAATAATAATTTTGTATGGCAGGTAAAGTTCCACCTGATTTTAATATGTTTTATTGCAGCTTCACTGGGCTTCTTCACGCGAATCCTATCGAAGTCCAGAAACGCTAAAAAAAAATTGCAAAACTTTTGCCCCAAATATCGGAATATTGGAATTGACCTACATGCCAGAATATTTGGTATATTTGTCCAAACTTGTTCACATTGTTTCGAAATTTAGAATCCTATATCATTTAGCAAAGGAGTAATTGCCCTTGCAGTCACTTTACAGGTACGAGTTTTAGAAATTTGTTCCATAACTATTGTTGTGGATATTCAACTAAGTTATTATTGTAATCGTTTCAAGGTTTTTACGTTTTTCTTTTTAAACCGACATCGGTAAGTCAATGAGCCCTATTAAAATTCTGATTTGTACTAGGATACGGGCTGATTCGTGGGCGTATATATTATTCACGATTTGAAAGCGAACTATATTTTTTGAAGAATTAATTGTAACATCATCATAACCAATGTCAAAAATATCCGTTAAAAGTGGTGGGCGCGAAAGCTACACATAAAGATAATTATTACATTAAAAAAAAATATAAAAAAACACAACACGCGTCTGTTATCACATTCTGGGAATGATACTTGATGAAGACATGCCACTTAGTGTTTCCGTCTTCAGTAAGTTGTTCAACAAAATTGACTTTGATTTGATTTTAAATTGACGCGATGTATCTGTAGGTTAATTCTTTTGTTTAAAAACTGTCCTGTCTTTTTCATTCTGATTAAACTACAGATCTATATTTCGTTTCGGTTTTTTTTATATACTTTCAATGGCCTACACTACATGAAGATCTGACAGGTTGTACTGGAAGGTCGCGTCAAGGGTCATACGAGCGGCTTTTGGCCCTATGACGTCTGACATTGATTAATCAATCGACTTTGACGTTTCTAGTGGTTTAGCCACAGTTTCGTGCACCGCATGTCAAAAACCCGTCGTAACAGACCGTTTCATTGGTTAATTCTTCAAAACGCGGGTTTATATAACAACTCTTTCAGATCCCAGTGTGGTAAAGACAAATTTTGAACTATAAAAAACGAAACGAAATAGAATCTGTGTTTTAATCAGATTGTTTCTTGTTGAAATTAATACAATTCTATAACAGCTGGTTTGTGTTCTCAATTCTGAACAGAAGTTGGTTTGTTTACTAATTTTGAATTCATTTTAAGCTTAAACTCTTTAAAACTGAACACACAATATGGTTATCTTTATTAACACACATAAAATGCAACCAGATAGAGAATTTTATTTTTGAGCAAGATCAAAGATTGAATGCTATATCTGAATGTATAGCAGAAGGGCGTGCGATATGAAGAAAGGGTACTTATTTATAATATTTTCTTCCGTGACATTTAATAACTTTTAAAAGCTTCTTCGGAAACGACCGATTATAAAAGCAAAGTGTTTTTGTTCTACCCAAATGTTTTTTAGCTCCATGAATGCATTCTCGATAACCGAGACGGTGCTAGTCTCTTTAATCAAATCATTCCTCTTGAAGGGTAGTAATTTAGCCCATGGTGTGTATAATAATCTAAAAGAAATCTTCTTCAAGAAAGGGATGTTATTGTGAATCCGCTTCCCACGTATAATTACCATTGATCGGATTACACACACCCAAAGAAAACTATTTCATCTGGAATTACGTGCTTTAAGGATGAGATCTACTTTAAGAAAAAAAACAAAAAAAAATCAAGGGTTAATTATAATTTGTTAAAGATTAAAGTATATTAACGTAGGTCTGCGTCATGATTTTATTAGAGTTTTTAAATCCTTGAATGATTGGATAAAACAGACAAATAGTTAATTTAGATACCAAATGTAATTTGAAACTCACGTGTTTAAAATAACGACCCATAGGAAATAATCCGGATTCTCATTTGAATTATGAAAAGTGGGCGAAAGTAGGTGTATCTTCAGGGAAATTTTGAATGAAATGAAATGAAACTGAATTTAACATCAACCGGGGTAATGAAGAAAGGTATATAATCTTCCGCCTTCTCTTCATCGAATTCCAGCTGTCAGCGGTTCTTTTGCGTGCGCCCCAACGAATAGACAGATGAACCCTGGAATTTAGTTCCACCTGAACGACTGGACGCTTTTCCTGACAAGGCCTCGTGCAGTCATTATTCACCAATGACTAGAAACTTTCTCTGCCACAGAGGCATTAAAAACTGGATCTCCTGGTTAGTGCGCCAGCACCGTATTCAGACGGCCACCATGGCTCACCTGAAAGTGACACCTGTTCCAATACCATAACCGCCTAAAAGGGGATAATAAAATCAAAATAAATAGGCCTATATGGAAGTAAACGGCAATTCGTTTTTACCATCATATGGACATAAAGGCCGACTTTCCAATTTATTGTGGGGTTATCTCGACTGTCCGTGGATTTAAAGCTTCGGTGTGTGAGGTTGACCTATAACTTACCCTGTAACAAAAGCCCCGTGTTGAATTTAATGTCCCCATGAAGAAGGTCATAAATTTACCGAAAGGTAAAAACGGGTTGCCGTTTACGTGCTTATAGGCCGATTTATTTCTTTTGTATTATCCCCTTTTAGGTGGTAATAATATTAGATCGGGTGAAAAGGATACTTTGGTCGTGAATATTAAATACTCCAGCTCTTTTTTTTTTAGTTACATTGCTTGTCAAATTAGATTTAAAAACAATTCGATCAGTGATCAATTCTGGAATCATCATTGAAACTATATATCAAATTACATACGCTTATCTATAGACACTTCCGGTCAGCTGGGTTTAAACCTTAATGGAATGAATGAGCCAGGCTTTTTGATATCTGTCAGGAATTAATTTAATTCCGACCATTTTCGTGTTATTAATGCATTATGTCAAAGATAGCCTTATACAAGAAGATACTTGACAATTCACTTTACAGTTTGAAAAAAACTAAACCGCTGTTGCTAGAAAGGAAATAATTGATTTTTCCATTGAAAATTATAGCAAAGAAAAATTAAAAATTGTCACACATTTTCTAATATAATCTGTATATTGATTTTCATCAATTATGGCTGTTTTTAAAATGTCTTTTTACTTCTTCGTGTTTTTCAGAATCCGCCGACAGATATGGGGTGGATCGTATAATATGATCTTCGCACGACAGAAGTGTGATGACAAACCATGCTGGTTGGATGACGAGTGTTGCCGTGGTTATTCATGTTTTAACCCAGAATCATCTGGATTAAGCCTGCTTCGAGAACGAACCCTGGGTGTCTGTTTAGACGATTTCCATATTAAAAGTCTTGAAGCCGAAGTTCTATAGTAACTGTGCTTTTATTTTTTTATATTTTTGTCTATTTGCAAGACCTGACAATTCTAGAGATTCTTTTCGTATCAAGCAAGGATGGTTATGTAGATGTGATCAAGTCGGGCTTTTCAGTCTGCCTGTTTAGAAATCCAGTCATGCCGAACTATGTCCCATTTTACAAAGCATACGTAAGACTTGGGTACATTAAAATCAGTCATATTCCTAGTATACTACACAACTTTATTGCACTTACATGTTTATAATATTAGTTGATAAGATTAAGTAACGGACCGTCCCTCTTTGGTTTCCGTCAGAATAAAGGGTTGAATTGTGTTAATCTAATTTTCATTCCGGTTAGTACTGAGACCAGCTCTGTACAATTAAATTTTCATTTCGTTTCTGCTTACAGATTTTGGTTTCGTTTTGAATGCACCCGCCGTTTGTTGCTTTTCAGTCATGTAAGATTGCATAATGAAAACAAGCCCTATTTTTCTTTATTAACTGGTTGTAATAGCAGTTCAGATGGACCTTTTTGAACGGCAAACTTTCGACCAAGGTAAATACCATAAAGGAAAATGCACAAAAGATAAAGTTCTTACGGTTATATGGCTAAATGAGAAACAAAAACGAACCATATAAATACGAAAAAAGGTTATAAGCAGTCCAGAAAAATTGACGGAAAATCAAAATTTTCTGATCGTAAAATTCGAACGCGAATCGTTGAGTTATCTTCCCGTTTATGTCATGGCTTTTAAAAGGTGTATACAGGATATAATTCTGTATTGAATCTTGTGAAATGTGGTAGGGTTGTTTATACAAGATGTTTAATGAACAATACTATTAAAACATAAAAATCGATGACCTTATGAAATCAGCATACGATTTTGTTGCTGACGCGCGCGTATGGTGGGTCAGTGTCGACCGGTGAAGACAGAATATATTGTCTCAATAATGGGGTAAATTGTTTTTAATAAATCAAGATTTTCATCCCGCAAAACAAAATCATACACTAAGTTTAATCAAATCGACATTTTATTTTTCACCCAAATCAAACAGGTCACGACGTCGTACGTGCAAAAACTACTTTTTACTCAATTCAGATTGTCCTTGGTGTTATTACCTTCTATTTATTGACGTACATTGATAAAATACATGAAAAGAATAAAATACACTGCTTTGGATTGCTTATATCGCTCTAATTTGTCCAAAATATAGTGAAGCAAACTCCAACCCTGCTCGCACATCACTAAAATAAAATGAATAATGTATTACTTAATATAATTACCATAATGCAATTTTATAATTATGATCAGACAAAATTTATTTCTCATTTATTGATATAATAGTCACGAATCTGACTGACGGTGTTCTTCATGTTGTGAATATTGTATTATTTTATTATAAATGACATATTATAATATATCAATTAATTGGTATACGTATACACACGTGCGAGCTATATGTTTATTTAGATTGCTTTACGTGTTCTTATCTGTTGTTTTAATTGTAATAATGTCTTTTTTATTTAATAAATTAAATAAATCATTAGATTTTGCTCCTTTTGTAAATGTTCGTGATAATTCTGCTTAAATGAATAAATGAATAAAATACGTCCTACTTTTCTTCACCAACTGGACTAATGAAGACGGGGATATGCCAACGGGTACACTGGAACTCGGTTTGTCGTCTCATTCGAACGACTAGACGCTGTTCCTTTGTCATACCCTCTGTCTTTTGTCATACGCTGAAAAGGAGAAACCACGATGAAATTCTCTTGAACAGTGAACCTCCTGGTTAGAGAGTCAGCGTCTTACCCACAGTGTCACCATGGCTTTCAGTCATATTTGAGAGAATAGTTCAGCTTAAGATGGGTACGGGTATGCTAGGTAGGAAACACATCGCCTCAATCTTCAAGATTAAAGGCGCCGTTTCGTCTTTTGACATTAAAGTCCATTTTTTCAGTTCAGTTGCGCGAATTCATGGGGCCCCTAATTTCAATAAAGAACGGATGGGTTGTGTTCTGACCTGTATAGACGATGATGCTGTATTTATATATACCAAAATGTGTGTGTTTATGTGGCGGGAGGATAAGTGTTGACTAAGGGTGGGGTGGATCGCATTAAGAATGTGAACCTACTATAAACTCAAACAATGCCTTACAGGTATTGCGAGCTTCATAGTCGTGGTGGCAACACACAATAGGCATAGAATCAGTGGAAAGAAGCCCACATAACCGATACAGTGACGCAACACGGACCCAAGGGGCCCCAATCAGGGCCGGCGGAATCAATTCAATATTATGGTGGGGGGGGGCTACCGTCCTAAGACTTCAGGCGAGGGTCCAGGGGCCGCCTAGGCGCTTTCTAAGCGATTTCTGACTTGTAAAATTACTCAGCAATGAAGTTTTATGTTTTTTTGTAACCCTTTTCCCATGAAAGCACTACAGTCGATGATGATTTCCTGTGATGTTGAACTGGACAAATATATACATAATATTACCAAGGTTGTGGACACTCTAGATGTCACAGTTCCTATCCGATTTTGATGAAACTTCTTGGATTCTGACACCCGATTGTGCGAAAATTCACATTTTTAGCTTGTGGGCACCCTAGAGGTCATATTTTTTATTGATTGTAAAAAACGTCCAAATATATCACAGCTACACCATTACAACTGTGTACAAATTTAAAGTTCAAATGGCCGCTCCCCTTTACGCAAATAATGTAAAAGTATGTAATACCAAGGTTGTAACAATTTTACAATTTTGAGTTATGTCAAATGCCTTTTACGCAAAATGTGAAATATGGATGAAGTTTGTGGACCTCCCAGAGGCGACAATTTTTGTCCGATTCATGAGATAAAAATGAAACTATGTGTTGAGGATCAAAAGTTCTTGGATGAGTTTCACTTTGGTATGCATGAGACCTTCCATTGTAGAGCTTTAGCCCCTGCAATAAAATGCTAGAAAAACTCTATCCCGTCGTGTTTTAATTAGTCATTCCGTCATAGATACAACGGAAATGAGATGGAATAAAATATTCCACTGCTCAGAAAAGTTAACTAATCGCGACCCTCGCATATAGGGGCTCTTAACCCAGGGAACAGTATAGAGCATAGTAGGATTTTTCTTCTGAAAGTCTACGTTTGTAAGACTACGTTAAAATCAGGTCTCTTCCAGTTACGTCACTGTATCTAACTGAATACCTGGAAAAAACCTGGAAAAAAGGGTACATGCGGCCAAATTATTGGGAAAGCCCCCCCCCCCCACATACACACACATGCTAGTCTCCGCCCCTAACTCCGCCACCGGGTCTGCCAATGTCCAGGGCCTTGAAATTACGATGGAGGGATCAGAGGTCCTCGGTCCGCTGAGATTTTTTGGGTGTGTGTGTGTGTGTTGGGGGGGGGCTGATGTAGTGCGCCCTGTGGCCTGGGCCCCACTGTGCCCCGTTGTTCACCTCACCCGACAGTAGTAAGTCGTTTCCTTTCAAAAATGTGAAGACTAAGGTCACCTGTTTTGAAGTAAAACCGCGAAACCGTGTTGAAAACAATAATCTTGATTTATCTAATAATCTTCTGGTACGTGTGTATTTTCCGTTTAATGAAAACATCAAAACAGAATAGAATTTCTTTAGCTTTAGATAAATGTTTTTCATCAGATCCATCTAGACATATTAAAACAAGATTTTAGATTAACGACATAAAATGACATCTTTAATATAACTGCCAATAATTCATAAGATGAACCAAGTCCATTAGTCAAATCACCATGGGAGAGTCAAAGTTCGTTAGATGGGACAATCATGGATCATTATTAAATTTACAGAAATATATTATTCGAATTATGTTTGGATAATAAAATCTGAATACAATTAAAAAGGCGGTTAATGTCCATGAATGAGACCATTAAAATTTGTGCACATTCTATGTACGAATAATTAATTGTCATAGCGCGCTATAAGTTTCAAACCTACTAAACACACGCTGTCATCGGAGCCCTGTAAACGATCTACAGGTCAAAGTATTTGACAGAAGTGGTTTCCAACTCTTGATGTAATTGTCCGCCTGATGGTAAAGAATAACTATTTTTGAAATTCGAATCAATGGTGGTTATTGTCCTTTTTCCTGAAGGTTTGTAAATGATCAACAGAGATTTTCTTCTGATTTGCTGGGATTGTCGTCTGGTAAAAAGGAGGAACCATACATTCAGTCATTGCTCCTGCCACCAAAACTTTCCAAATCTCAGAGTTTTTAAAATGGAGTTATTGTCTATTCGGCTGAATAACATCCTTTGACGTCCTTGCTGTCTATCCTACGAATTAAGGCTTTGAAAATCTAGGAATTAAAACTTTAAAAATCTAACACATATCAGGTTTTACTGATTCCAGAGAATATCCATACTCCTCGAAGTGTTTCGTTTGATTAGAGCTAATCCCACCACTCACTGCTGTAAACAAAGCAAATTCTTGTTCTAAATTATGACTGGTCAATAGTCCGATTAACAACCAATAGCTTACTGTGTAACAATACCGAACAGAGCTCCAAATTGGACCAAATATGTTTACATAACGTTGCGTCATGACTCAAGATTTTATTATGCCCAATTAACCAGTGTATATCAGAATATTGCAGAAAAACTAATTGTGTGACAAACAAGGCTATCAACTGTCAACACGAATTTTACTCTGTAGATATAATGTAAACACTATTGTTTTGAGACGAACAACACTTTCACCGTTTTTAATACCTTAAATCACTGTCCAAAGTTTTAAGGAAGACCTCTGATTAAACGAAGGGCTGTCATGTTGCTGTGCTTTTGGATAGATTTGATTGAACGGGAAGAACAGACACACTCCCTCAAAAGCGCAAGTATCAGAAGCTAATCCAGCAATGGCCAGAGAGGGATTTTTCGGGCCATTGCTTCAGGAATATGGAGAATGTCTAATTCACAATAACACCCCGCTAAAGTCAAAGAAGGCAGTTTTTATCGGCTAACGTTCTTCTAAGTAGGCCCGTCTCTAGCTTTTCGATAACTAACAGAGTCTCTTCATAGCATAAACTATATCGTGGTGCGTGAAGTTGATGCCAAAACAATGGCGATATCTACAGCAATTTGTATGCGGAGATAACAAGGTTCTTCTAGGATCTAAGGGAAAAAAACGGCGAAAAGTTGGACTTACAGGACGGATTGGAAACAATACTTAATAATTCTCCGAATGTTCGTAATAGATCCGAATCTTTATTAATAGTGTATACCGAAAAGTGTGTACCAACTTCTCTTACTCATAACGATGCCAAATGAAAATCTCCAACATCAAGAATTATAACCTACAGCAATTTGATTCACACAGATTCAGAAATAAAGCCAATATCAACACTGCGAGCATTACTATCAGGCCATCAACATGGTTTCAACATTGTCTTAGTTTGAAATCGCTAATGCAGTTAATGACAATTTACTGTATTTGATCAGCTGTACGAAATTTTAGCCCACTTTCCATTACACTAATGAATAGCTTGTTGCTTTTACGAAGACTTTTTTGCTTTTGAACAAGGACATTGGGGCACGTGGTGGCATGAACTTAAACGATGAGGAAAACCCGGAAGAAACATTTAGCCACAGGATACCACAACTACTGTATATTAACCACATAATAATTCCTTTGGTATTTATATAAAAGGTTTTTGCTTATTATATGAACATTGGAACACTCATATTTAGCATGTAGTAAACAGACAAGTCAACAATTTAAAATACGGGGGAAACATTTATCTTTGATTTAGCTAATACTAAAACTTCTATGGAAATTATAAATACACACATCAAAACTACCACGTATCTCTGGCCAATATAGAAGATAAAGATAGGTTGCCAGGCAACGAAACATACGCCCACAGCAGCTAAGTCGTCCGAGCAGTCACCAAGAGTTAGCGCATATTTTTTCTATTGTCGGTAATGAAACATTTATAATACACTAAAATCTGATTAAAAGTAACAACTCATTAAGTAATTATCCGAAAATCATTAGAAATTGTTTGGCTTTTAGTTCCGCCCCATGCTAACGTTTAGTATACGAAACATTTAATATCATGGATTTAGCTGTTCAATATACTTGTTCGTCTCATGACCTTAAACTATGTTTATCAATCTAAAGTCAATCGGATGATAACTTTGGTCTCTAGAGCATCCACAAGTGATCAAGGGCTATAACTCTGGAAGTAATTAACATCTTCTTCGTCTCATGACCTTAAACACCGTGTATAAATATAAAGTCAATCGGATATTAACTTTAGCCTCTAGAGCGTCCACAAGATTTTTTTCAAAGTGATCAAGGGCCATAACTCTGGCAGTAATTATCGGGAATTGTTGAAAATCAATAGGCTTCTTCGTCTCATGACCTTAAATACTGTGTATAAATCTAAAGTCAATCGGATATTAACTTTAGTCTCTAAAACGTCCACAAGATATTTCAAAGTGATCAATTGCCATAACTCTGGCAGTAATTATCGGATATCTTTGAAAATCAATAGACTTCTTCGTCTCATGACCTTAAACACTGTGTATAAATATAAAGTCAATCGGATATGAACTGTAGCCTCTAGAGCATCCACAAGGTTTTTTAAAGAGATCAAGCGTCATAACTCTGGCAGTAATTATCGGAAATCGCTGCAAATCAATAGGCTTCTTCGTCTCACGACCTTAAACACTGTGTATAAATTTAAAGTCAATCAGATGTTAACTTTAGCCTCTAGAGTGGACGGAAGGGGGCGACAACAATATACGATAAAAATTAACGTTGATGCTAAATTCGTACTAGAATCGATAGGAAAAGTGGCAGCTAATGACTGATATCCTCTTATGTTATTAATAATAATCTCCATATAAAAATTCTACCACACACATTATAAAAAAAGGATCAGTGACCGCTGCAGTCCCAGGATCTGGAACCGATAGAACAGTCTCCCGAAAAAGGTTTATGAAAGACGGACGCACGAAACCATTTACACAAAATGATTTGAAGGATACAATGCGGGTCAAATGGACGGAACAAAGCTAGGACGAAATAAGAAACTCGATTTTTTTGTGGAAAAGGTGCTACGAGCAGGACGGATGGCATTTTCATCATTCGTTTATGTAAACTGGCGTGCGTGTGATGTAACGGAGTTCGATTGACTTCTCAGTTCGGTAAAACTCGATTTGACATTTTTTTTTTAAAACCTGAATTATGGTAACACTATCTGTGAGATGAACTTAGAATTTGGTTTGAACTTGTCAAACGCCCATATTATATGACATGTCAAATTTTAATGTTATAGGTACATTAATGTTGGGTTCGTTGTTTTTCTGAGCCACCGATATAGTCTTCATCGCAATGTGTTTAGTTGTGATACTATGAATGGGTTTTATATTACCCTACTGTTCGGCACCAAGGGGGGTACTGAAGACTAGCACACGTCTTGGATTGTGTTATGAGCAGAATTTAGTACCAGCAGCGGAGCTAAGCTCTACTCTAATTTCGATTTCCAAATAAAAGTGGATCTTTAACGTTTATCTAATGAAATACACGATGACAGACACTTGTCCTTGCCAGACCTTCCACGCTACACCACTGAATAGGGGAAACATGACTAGAAAATACAGAGAATTTTTGCGACTAGCACTGTTATTAAAATCAGGACCTACTTGTTACTGAATCAGCGTGGCTTAACGTAATTGTGTAGGCGGATGTTTATCATAAATACTTAACACAAGCTCTTATTTTATTTTATCGCTTATATTATAAAATCACTACTACCAAAATAAAATAATAAATTTCCATCTTGAATAAAATCAAATTCTGCATTCAGCAAAAGGGTGGGGTGGGGGTCGAGGATTCGTAATGGTCGTTCATTCAAAACTCTATTCCATCATTGCTAAAAATACAACCAATTCTATGAACGTTTAGAAAGCATACATGTGCAGAAATCGCGTGCAGGATACATATATCAACAAAACAGATTCAAAAACGAATATTAGTAAGATATCTTGGTAGCATATTTTTTTATGACCGAGAAACATCAAAGATATAAGAAAATTAAATTAATGTGGATATCTTAAACGTCGACGTCTGTCAAACAAGACACACTTCTAATGCTTATCAAATCCTCTGAGGTCGCTTTTGATACAGTAACTGGTATTTGAAGTGCGTTCGGATGGGTTGTATCACTTATAATACTTATAAAATCCTCTGAGGCCACAATGTTGGATTGGTTTGTATCACTTATAATGCTTATCAAATCCTCTGAGGCCACTGTTGATACCGTATCTAGTACTTGAAGTGCATTCAATTGGTTTGTATCATTTGTATCCACCCTTTTCTTTTTCTTTTTTCTTGGTTGCCATTTGCATACCATACTATCGTTCGCTTCCGCCATGTCTAATCGACCATTCAACCAAAATGTTTCCATAATACCTTTACCCTGAAGAAAAACAAACATGGGGGTATCTCCAAATTTTAGATAAAGGACAATGGTGATTTTAACAAGTTTACATTTTTTTATTTTTTGTTTTTGAGAGGGTGATTAGTTTTGATACGTTTTGATTATGCTTTCGCCATTTAAAAATGCACCTTATGATAGTTATAGAGCTGAATTTGACATTTGACATTTTACCTAGAATATGACAAAAACACTCCTACGGCATCGCATTCTATGTAAAAAAAATACTATAAAAAGTTGGGTCTCGTTTTGTTCCCATTTGATGGATACCTCCGCGCACTGAGCCTCCAGTATAAATAAGGTTAACTTCCTATGAAAATTAAGATTTACAATTTTGGATACTAATTTAAGAATTTTTTTAGTCGCGAGGTTCGTGTAGGGGTCATTCCATGTCAAGTGACCCGGTGCTTGTAAAGTGCCCCCCTCAGAATATTATTAAAAAGATATATGTTCTAATACATACAAATTTATGTAACCTCCAAAGTTATATGGTTCGAGTATTATTATTGACTGAGAAAATGGCCTTTTGAATAGAGGTAACCTTTTGCAAGTTTTGAAACTACTATTCTATGATTCGATTTTGGTGTACTGATTTTATATCTTCCAGTTTGACAAAATTACTGAAATTATGGGAGTTGTAAGAAAATATTATATAGATTAAGAATTCATTATTGAATTTGAAGAAAAAGTACCGTGAACTGTCTATGGAGTGCCTTAAGTCCCAAAAATTGATACTTGTGCAAAAATAAATAAAAAAAATCAATATTTCGATACAGTGTAGAGATTTTACTACACTATGTCAGAAGTTGTTACTTATCTCATGTATAAGGTATTATTTTAGCAAAGTTTATTAAAAGTCAAAGCTTTGCCCTTTTCTTGCAAAATCAGCTTTAAAAATCAACTCACAGGAAAATAGCTAACTAATTATAGAAGCGTTCCACGAAAAAAATATGAAACTTTGGGAAATTGATGCATGTACATGTAAACGTGTCTATCAATGATGAAAGGGCCATGTTTGTTAATTTACCCCCTCATTTTCATTAAATTTGAAAAATAAATGATTTTTTTTTTCATTTTTTGCCGATTTGAATAGGTTGATTATAATACTTCTAATTGCCTGATCAGAATGAAACAAAATCATCTAAGAACATTTTGTGAGTACTTAACAATTATGCATCAGTATTAGACAGGGACGTAACCATTAATTTTTGATCCAATATCATATACATGGTTAGCGTTCAAAAAGAGTGATTTTGCTATTTTTCTGTGCGAGTCGATTTTGTCAAAGCTAATTTTAAAAGAAGCCGACAAAAATATGGCTTTTAATAATTTTTGTTCAAACAATACCCATTGATACATTATACATGTGATATGTAACAACTTCTGATATAGTGTAGTAAAATTTCTACACTGTATCGAAATATTGGGAGTTGCTTTGCACAAGAATCAATTTTTGGCATTTAAGACACCCCATACACAGTTGACGGTACTTGATGGTACTGTAAAATTTGGTGCTAAATTCTTAATCTGGCACTTATAAGACACTCCATACACAGTTGACAGTACTTGTTCTGTAAAATTTGATGGTAAAGTCTTAATCTATATAACATTATCTTACAAACCCCAAAATTTTAGGAATATAGACTGACTAGAAGGAATAAAATCAGAACACAAAAATCGAGTCATAGAATAGTAGTTTCAAAACTTGTGAAAGGGTACCCCGACACAAGGGGGGTTGGATGGCTGAATGGTTAGCGTGCGCGCGCTGTATCATAAAGTCTGTCATTGAGTCGACTGGCGTGGTTTCGAATCCCCGGTTGTACGTGGCAAGGAGTAGGGTCGCCTGTCCACCCTCGTGGGTTTTCTCCGGGTCCTCCGGTTTCCTCCCACTGCTAAAGACCCCTACGCGCAAGCGAATTATTGAAATAAAATTAAAACATATGTTAGTCCCGAAATGACCTAGTTTGTGTCGAGTGGACGTTAAACCCCATTTCTCTCTCTCTCTCTCACCCCGACACAAATGGTCAGTAAAAATTATTGCTAGATTCATATAACTTTGCAGTTTTACATGAGTCTGTATGTACTATAACATATTTTTTTCATCATTTTCTGAGGGGGTCACCGTACAAATTTCTGCGAATTTGTTCCACTTGACATGGAATAACCCGTGGGTGATTGTCTCAACTTGTGCGACGACAGTCTGAAAGAAGGCAGTCACCCAAGCTTAATATTAATAAGCCTACAGTAAATAAAAAGAAAATCTAGGAAATCTAGGAAATAATGAATTCCTATGTCATATGTAAATGAAACGAGATGGGGTTTAACGTCCCACGGTTCTGCGTCAACAGGGCTAATGCTTTGAGGAAAATTTTGTACTGACAGTACGTCAAATCCCACTTGTGATTGAGTGCAGAATTATAGTTCATTAGATATTGTAGCTGTTTAATGAAGGACATTCAATTAGCACAAAGTAACGCTAAACAACAAAAGGTTAGACATTAATTAGGAGTTTAAAAAAGAGAACACAAAGAAAGAAATGCATTAATGAATATGACAGGAAATTAAACACACCTTTATATCGAGTTCTCCTCTGGTTGATATAAAATAACGACCAGTTAATACCAGTTTATCTCTGGTAGCTTTACTAATATGGATCTTTAATGCTAAAATATGTGAAAAAAAAACAAGAAAATGGGATTGGTATCCCCGCTGTATGGTATAAAATCTTACTGAATACAATAATTATGGGTCATGTTTTTCGAAATCGGTCTTCATCCTTTCTTGGCACCAAAGTCGGTGCTGTAAGGAGAGATTGGTGGGGAAAAGTCAAGTGTCACCGTATCTTGTATCCTGATTTTTCAAATATCTGATATTAAATTGATTTGTGGGCGTATCTCACGCAGACATAATGATAATGAACCAATTTAGTACAATGTAAAATTATGCTTTCCCGACGATGTGTTTTTTCTGTCCACACAGTTGAAGGCTACAAGAAGATGACCTCATTTACCGTCGCACCTATTTAAACGTTATTTTTAGACTTGAATATGATTCAACTTGTTTTTGAACCAGAAGCTGGATACCTGCACTTGGTAATCTTCTTCTTTAAAAAAAAAGCCCAAGGGTCTTCCAAATCAAGATCTACACAAAATTTGCCATGTTGGCTCTGTGGACAATAATTACGTATCGATTGGCCACGATTTTCGGTTTGACGTCACCATTCAAGGCCGTTTCTGGTTCAATCGGTACTTTCCGAACATTATTTGCAGTGAATAAAGGGTTAATATAGGTGGCTCAATAATTCTCAGCTCTATTTCATCCCTTTCAGTGATCTAGTGGCACCAAGGAACGCTTGGGGCAATATACATAAGATCACGTTGACCGGTTCAAAGGAAACGAAATTATTGTTTAATTGGAATGTACAAACTATTACATGGGGTCGTGGCGAACAATTCTGATACTTTTATTTTAAAAAAATGCTATGTTTTCATGTAAAGCAAATAAATCTCTGATCTATACACTTCTTGCCACATTGTCGTTCGGTTTCCCCTCTCACGCTCACGGTGACTTTGTTCTTCAAGGGGTTGCGATCAGATGATGGTTTCTGGAATGGGGTCGTAACCAACAAAAGGTTGGGAACTGTTAGGATGTTTTATTATTCCCCATTTGCGATGCATTGCAATGATTTAATGTAACCGTGGCACTGACATGCTCAGCAATCTAAACATGTTACCGTTTGGATAGAAGTTGTCCTACCTTGACTTGTAGATTCCATTCTAGAAGCTGTATTTACAGTATCACCAAATAAACAATATCTAGGCATCTTTATACCTACAACACCAGCTACACATGGTCCTAATAAACGCACAAATAGATCAAAATATTTATAGAATTATTTGTTAAATGGAAAATAAAATTGCAAAATCAATAGATCCTTTTCAATATTTCTTCGAGGAATTTTGCTAAGATTTTTGATTCACGTGCCGAAAATTTCGAATTTTATCCCGAATTAAAAATCTTGTACATATTAGTCTTTGGTAAGGGTAGAGTTTTAATTGTCTGACTGGTCCAATATTTTACGTACTACAGGCGATGGTTATAAACAGTACCACAAGAGATTTCCTATAGGGCACCGGCCGCCGTGGTAAAGAAAAGTTTACATTATATTTTGTCTCCATTATGTGGTAAAACGACAAATAATAGCCCTTTCTATTTAAAGGGACTAAATCTCTTTGATTTCAGTCAAATAAAGTATTCGGTTTTTCTGGTGGTTCATCGTGCTGATATTAGTGTGGGATTAAATTAACCAGAAGTCAGTTTGTTTAGTAATTTTAGTTTCGTGTTAAACTAGGACTGTCGATTGTTAAGCACAAAATCAGTTTTATCTTAAAATTTGTTGAAGTCGTGGGCCAATAATTAAATCGACACTTAGTCAGTTTAATGAAGGCAGAGAATTAAGGTGTATTGCTTGAACAAAGACGTTTACCTGTGTGTATACCTATACGCATCTGAAGACAATCGTTTTCTATTGGTATTGGTACATTAACCTGTTTTACAGCTGTTAATAAATCTATTGACATGGTGGCTATTTCTTCAACATGCTACAAAATAAAATACTATTAACATAAAGTTCGGTACTTTAAAGAACTAGGGCCAGAAAAGGGCACAATGTAAGAGAGGGAGTGGGTTTTAGAGGATGATTAAGACGTTTATATAATATAATCACAAAGTATGTACCCATACAGGGGCGGATTGGGGCCGGGAACCGGCCCGGGCTCCCGTGTCGGAGCGGCCCCTTTTACTTGGGTCCGGGTGCTCTCCCCCGGGAAAATTTTGAAAAATGAACCCCAAATATGCGATTTGGTGGCATATCTGATTATAATCTCTGTCAAATTCAGCCAGCAGACCAGCTATCACCAAATTTTGCTGAGACCTTTTGATGTACGAACCATTGGCAGACGTTTCTGGCGTATCCCCACAAACAAGGTGCAGGATTGGTGACTTAATAATTAGTAAATTTGCGGGCGACAGTGTCGGGTGAATCCAATGAAATTTTCGGATGAAATTCGGAATCCCCATTTCAAGATTCCGAATTCAGGCCCATACCCAGCAACACCTTCCCAGAAAGTGTTTTATACCAGCCCATTCCAGACTCTAGTGATGGTGTGGCGGCCCGTTAAAGCCACCGGCCACATACAACATGGTCATCATCGCTCCATGGCCGGTCCAATACCCCTGCCCCCCCCCCCCCATATAATGTTCAGCGTAAAAAAAGGTTTTTTTTAGACGAATTGGACAAAATTATTTTTTTCATTTTTTGTCCGACCGGCCCTTCGGGTGATCGCCCGATCGCCCGATGTCCAAATCCGCCCCTGTACCCATAGATCTAAAACACCTATCAATTCAGATAATCGAAACCGTCCTCACTGAGACGTCCGTGATACAATAAAAGTGCCCAGAATATTTTGTGTATATAACCGACTACTTTTCTAATCTAGAAAATACTGGGATGTGTAATTTTACGTGGGAGGAATGCAATGTAAAATGGTACCCCTTTGAAATGGAAACATAAACCAGTAAAAATATAAATGGAAGATAGTTATAAACACCAGTAAATTGACCAGAGCAAAAGATCTGCGAATATGAAATTTACCTTGTCACCGTTTCTTTCAGGAAGACCACTAGCTACCATATAAGCATCTCCAATTGTTTCTACTTTATATACATCATAAGTATCAATTCTACCATCAAACGTTGAATATAGCGTATTTAACAATTCCACTATTTGCATGGGTGTACTGGCCGCCGAAATAGACGTAAATCCTACGATATCTGAAAAATATATAGTCACTTCTTCGAATGTTTCTGCACTAACAGTTTTGTTACCCTTAAGTTGTTCGGCAACTGTTCTGGGTAGCATTTGGTATAAAAGATTATCTGTTAATTTCTTTTCATCATTTAGTTCTGATGTTTTGGTTTCCAAGAATGAAGCATATCGATATATCCAATCCCCCATTCTCTTTACACGTCGAGAAACCACGACGGCTACCCCACACATAATAAGACACACTACACAATGTACGATAATTCTTCTGGAATAATTTCCAATTTGGTCATTTAATTGAGAAACGACTGTTTCCCCTAAGAGAATTCTGCTTGCTAAAAGATCATCCCTCCATTTAATATGTGCTTTGTAGTAATTATTTAGGTCATTTTTTGTCCAATCACCAAAGGAAATATTGATGAACTCATATCTGATACGTTTGGCCCGTAAAACACCAAAGGTAGATAAATTGAAAGAAAAACCCAAATACTCTTCTAATAATGTAAACATCAAACGGAGTTCTTCACAAGTTGCAATTCTTTCATGTAGCCACAGAGTAGAACTACTGTTGTTTTCGATGTTTACAATTTCAAAGATTGTACACACTAACAAATTGGACAACTTTTCTTCTATTTTGATAAAGAGATAGAATGTTGCTATCCAAGATGCTAGGTGGTTTCGTTCACCATTAGCTCCACATGTTATCAACCTACTTACTATTTTCAAAACTTTTTCTGATATTTTTTCAACATCCAAAAGAGTAGACGTAGCATTTTGAAAAATAAGTTCGTAAATTACTTGACAGTTTTGGATATTGCTGGTTTCATTGAAGATAATAACGCACTGGTTGTTCGAATTCGAAATGACGGTGTCGGTTCTGGTATCACAGTTTCCGGTATCGTTGATAAAAGTGCACATATTGTAAGTCCTTGCCAACCTGTTGTCTCTGACCGTGAGCAGCTCATCCAGATAACCCAATCCATACATCATGTTCTTTAAACATTTACAATCACCAGATGTTTTGCCAACAGATATACCATCTGTGGCAATATCCACAATCAAAATGATGATCATGATGGCAGACGACACTATACATATCGTCATAATTTTATGAATACTATATCTGTTTGCATGCCAAGATGCCAGTTCGACATCAGAATCTGAGACATCATATAGCAATCTACGATTCCTTAAATCAAGAAACGAATTCGTCAAACTACTCGGCATCTGTTTCGAATCGTGTTTGTCGTATGCCCCCACGATGCCATTTTGATTTAAATTGTCCACTTTATTGTTCCATAATCCAATTCGTCGGCCTAGTCGCCGTATGGACTCCATGGCTAATTGCTTAAATAAGTTCGAATTTTTGAAAATGAATCCCAGACAACTAATGAAATCCTAAATTCATTGTAAGAATATAAATCACTCCAGATTATTATGATTTAAATATGTTTAGTTTCCTTCCGGTTGTCGTTGGAATGACGATTTATTTGAACAAAACGATTTCAAAATTTAACTCATTGCAGTTCTATTTAAAGACATCAATTCATGTTTAAAGACATCAATTCATAATGTCACTACACAATAGGATGTTGTCTAGGTAACTTAAAGTGGGGATAACATTAGAAAAGTAAATATGGTAAAAATTATAATTCTGTTCTAGACGTAAAATGCAAGACACATATTTTGTCTATCCCTGTACAATGGTATTGAACCATATAGGCCTAAAACGTTAGAATTTGGTCATTAAATAATTAGTAAGCACAATTTAAAGTTACGTATACTTCCATCTCACCTCTTTGATCCCCGAAATCACTTTTCACTGAAAATAAGCAAGTCAGTTATCAATAAGAATTCACCATTAAGTTAGCAGGTCATTCCAAAGATGTATGTGTAGCAGTAGAAATAAAAGGTGAACTTGTCGAGAACTGGGGACTTTAGCACTGTTAGGCTGGAGCCAACATTTATTCAGCGCTTAATTCAGAAACCTTTAAACCAAGATATGCCATTGAGGTCTATAAAGTACTTTACCAAACTACAGAGTGGTTATAAGAATTTCACATATCACACAAAATATGTGACACAAGATAAATAGTTATACCGCGTATACAAAGGTGTTTTAAAATAATAAAAATAATGTCACATATCTGGAAACGTTAAAGTAATATCCTTCAAAAAGCGTACAGCCGAGTAAAAAATACAAGTCTAGATAGCTGGTGTTAAGATTCTATCTTGTTGGTACGTCTTTACTTTGATTAGTCTGATAATAATCAATACAGTACAACTATACGTTGTTTTATGATTGATAATTAGTCGATCTATATATTGACCAAGCTTTTAACATTATCTTAGCTTTCAGTTTTATTGGAATTTCTGTATTACAGAAATTGGTGAGCATTACATTATCGGCTAATGACCCTTTTTTTGAATACTGGACAGCACGAATGATTGTACGAACAATACTGAATAATCTCGCTGTTCATTTTAAAACAACAATACAATTAACCATACTCCATGTGTTTATCTCAATTCTTCATTACGCCCATTAGTGTGATTTAGGAATCAAAATGGCGTCATCGTCAATTAAATTAAAGCTGAACTTCCAGTTTGACAACAACAGAAAAATATTACTGTGGTATTGAATGAGGCTTTACAACATAAAAATGGACTTTTTGATTCGGTGGGAGATAATGGTCATCTTGATGTGGCCGCATAGGTTCCTACTTGGCTATAACTGGAAAAGGTTATGCTAGGTGTACCAAACAAGTTAAATCTTAATCAAACAGCTTGCTGTCAGTAGCGGATGCAGGCTATTTGGATGGTTTAATGATGCTCGAGAGAATTGTGAAAATGGGGGTCGGGCTCAGTGGTTATATGGGTGTCAGTGGTGATTGGCGGCGCATATCTGGATCCGAATATAACATTCAATTCTACAATCACAACCTTACTAAACTACAACCAACAATAGGTTCCAATTTACACGTTGCATAGGAACAGAATGTTACGTGAAGTTTTTATGCTGTTAGTTCGGGGGTTGTATACAGCTGTTAGTTGAGGGGTCGGGGGTGGGGGGGGGTCCGTACCTGGATCCGCCACTGCCTGTGATATAGTAATTATGATTATATAATTTAGACATGACGTAGACAATGTAGATACACTAAAATAGCTGGACGTAATACATATATACATGTATGGAACGCGAACGACATCCGATTCAACACAATCTGATTAAAATACAGATCTATATTTCGTTTCGTTTTTTATACTTTCGATGGCCTCTACTACATGAAGATCTGACCGGTTGTAGTGCAAGGTCGCATCAGTGGTCATACGAGTTGCTTTTGGCCTATGACGTTAGACATTAGACGTCAGCGTTGATGTTTCTAGTGGGTTAACCACAGTTCCGTACCTCGCGCCAAAAACTCGCCGCAACAGGCCGTTTCATTGGCTAATTCCTCACATCATCCAGAACGCGGGTTATATAACAACTCTTCCAGATCATAGTGTAATTAAGACAAGTAATTTTGAACTACAGTATAAAAAACGAAACGAAATAGGATCTGTGTTTTAATCAGATTGCATTCGACACATACACCGGTTGTACAAATCACGTTTTTTTTTTATCCGGTTTCTTTTCTAAATAACGTTCATGCTGTACATAATGGACTGGACTGTTTTCTTTTTCTATATTTACACACTATCTCCTATTTCTGTTTGTTTCGTGGTGTCTTGAGTAATTATCTTAATGAAATCTGTATAAAAATCGAATTTAGTGCATTACAGTAACACAAGAACATTGCCAATTATTTACAATAAGGATCTTTATTTTAAATTTATCGAATTGTCCATGAATTAAATATAACCTTTTACTTATTGCCGCATGTAAAATCTTTTTTGCAGATCCTCTTGTACGTGACAAGGAGTATGACCGCTTGTAAAACCTCGTGAGTTTTCTCTGGGTCATCTGGTTTCCTCCAACAACTGGAGACCCCTACGCGCAAGCGAATTATTGAAATAAAATTGAACCATACCTTAGTTCCGAAATGACTTAGTTTTTCAAAGCGAAAAAAATGGTAAGAAAACAGTCATAAAATTTACGTTAGATTTACCATTAGAGGTTTTTATTATTGTTTCATTATTACAATCCTAATTAAATGGTTTCATTGAATGTTTGGATTGTACAGAGTAAATATATTTCGTTCCCTTTTGCTTGATAACGACAAGAGGACCATTGTTGAAACGTAGTTTTAATTGAAATAGAGTAATTGTTATCCATAAAACTGTTGTGTTTATTTTAATGTGTTCAATTATTAAATACCATTCAAATAGTATTTTAGATATTAATTAGGCTTTTGAATTAAATACCTTTCAGATGGTGTAAAGTTTAATTCTGTAGAATATATACTCTTTCCTAAAAAGAGTTCAAAAATAATCTTTATAAAAATATATCTTAAAAACTGTAGCCTCTACAGGGTTCACAGGGTTTCAGGAAAAGAGGTTATAACTCTGGTAGGAAAAGGTTTCGGAGCTGAATATCGATAGTTTTTATCATCTTATGAACCCAATGATTCACATAAAACAAATTGTACCCTCCTATATCTAGTTCACAAGTCAATTATTAATGGAGCTGCCAGTATATAACATACTCACATACACTGACCACCTCCTCAAAAATAACAACACATTATTATATTTTTTAAAATTTAATCAGAATATGTTCCATTAAAATGCCATTTTAAAAACTTAACTGTTACATCATAATTTTCTAATTTTAATACTCAGTACAAATTACAAAGCATGTTACTATATGATTTACAAAATATAGTATAACTTTATTATAATAATGGGTTGTTTTGTGGGTTTTTTTTAATGTATAACAATAGTAGACCTAAGTATACCACCCTTCTCTTCGAAGTCTCAAAGATGTTGTTAGATCTTACTGTAAATATAAATAAAATACAAATGAATCAGATTACAATGGTAGTTCATCACATCATACATTACATAAATAAAAGATATCTACAAATAGTAAAATTATTGAATTTTGTTTTAACATCTCTAGTTTCTGTTATTTCACAACACTTAAAAACAAATAGAAGATAAAATGGGTCATGCAAAATCAATAAATTACATTTTATACAAAAACAACCATCCTTAATAATAACAGGCCAGTTACATCCATTTAATTATATATATGTACAGTGACACTAACTACACCCTAATTCATGGTATACCAATAAATATAGGTATTAACAAATATTTATTACATGTAAAGAGTAATATATAAAATTAAACAAATTGATGTCCATTAAAAAAATTTATACTTGGAATGGATATTAAAGAATCCCATGAAAATATGAGTATTTTTAGCTGGATATAAAGAAAATGTTTTATTTGGTGGAAGCTGTTTTTTTTATTACTGGTAGTTTATTATTTGGCTGCCTCTTCCACTTGTGAACCTGCTACAGCTAAAACTTTATCACCAGATGCTGAATATAAATACACAAAAAATATTTATTTTAAAAAGAATATTAAATCTGAAAGCCAGATCACATATAAAAAAAAAATTCACAAGTAAAAAGAAAAACATCCACTTTGTAAAAAGAAGGCCATAACTGTGGAAGTCATCATTGAAAATTGATAGACATTTCCCTTTGAATGAGTTAAACAACTATACAAATTTCAGAACACAAGGTTGCCAGGCAATGAAACATACACCAACCAGCAACTGAGTTTTCCCAGAAGTTATGAGCTTAACAAGGTATACAAATTTCAGAAAGATTGGATAATAATTGCAGCTTCTAAGGTGCTAACAAGATTAAGTAACAAAGGAGAATAACTCTGGAAGTTATTATCAAAAATTGTTGCAAATCAATAGGTTTCAATGAGATAGATAACCCATGTCAATTTCAAAGATAGGTTGCCAGGCAATGAAACATATGCCAACAACAGCTAATTAAATAGTCTGAGCAGTTGACAAGGGTTGTCACATAATAATTTATAATTTTGTACGTAATGGGAGCATTTACAAGACAATGATATAAATTTCATACAAATCGAATGATAACTTTTGTTAGTTGAGTGTTCACAAGGTTCAACCAGGTTCAACCAGGTGAAACATTAACTGTAGATGTTATTAACACAAATTGCTCAAATTCAAGAGGATTCCTGTATTACTAATCTAAATAATGCATATAATAAATCTAATACAGATCGAACAAAATGAAACACGGGCCATAACTCTAGAACATATTGACAGAAATTGTTGAAATTCAATAGGCTTCATCGTTCTAATGATCTAAATAATGCATATAAATTTCATACAGATAGAATGATAACTTTAGTCGATAGTGCATTCTTGCCGTTCAATAAGTGAAACAAGGGCCATAACTCTAGAAGTTATCAATGGAAATTACTGACATTTAATTGGCTTATTAAATAATGCATGTAAAATTAATATAGATCGGACGATAGTTTTTGTCATTAGAGAGTTCACAGGGTGCAACAAAGTGAAACAAGGGCCATAACTCTAGAAATTATTGACAGAAATTGTTGAAATTCATTAGGCTTCTTTGTTTGACCAATTTAAATAATGCATATAAATTTAATACAAATCGGATGATAACTTTATTCGTTAGAGTGTTCACAAGGTCCTACAAAGTGAAACAAGGACCATAACTCTAGAAGTAATAAATCTCAAAATGATCTGATAATTGTGGATGAGAGACCGACGAACGGATGGATGGGCAGACAGACGGGCGAAGGCGACAGCAATATACAACCACATTTCGATGTAGGCATATGAAAAGCCAACACTGAGGCTGGTGTCCCATCTTCAATCCCAAAATAAATAGATGACACCTCTTAACTGCTTTGCAGAAATTACTCATCAACACTAAGTTTGAACATTCTAGCACAATTCGAGTTATTGTCTTCTAAAAGGTGTGATGGATAGAAGGACAGCTGCTTACGGTAGCTTAATCAGAATATGTCCATCGCCGAACTCAGTTAAGACACTCACCTAATAAACATCTACACCAAGTTAAAACATACTTCCTCATTTAAAAGCAAGCAGAGTTATTGTGTGCCGAAGTCGTGGCCAATGAAATTGCTTATCTCTGCTTAGCCAAGGCAGAAAATGCTCACCATCGAACTCAGTTAAGGGTCAAGCATACCACAAGTTTGAATATTCTACTTCAATAAGAAGCCGAGTTATTATGTCCCAAAAAGTGTGACAGACAGACGAACCCAGGGCAGGGGACCAAAAACATATGGATTATTGCAGCTTTTATTGTGCTAACAAGAAATGTAAACAATGTACATGTACCATAATTTGAAAAACGGTATTGATCGATTACTAGTGTAAGTATCACAGAAATGTATTTTCATATCACACTGTTCTAATAAGATGGTCTTTCTTCAGTGAACGTATGCATCCTTATCTATCAGAAAACCTGCTTCATTGAGTGCTACTTAGTATTTATATATAAATATATATAACATTACTAACCTAAAGTTGATGAAACTTTTTCAAATTGTTTTAAACTAGCCGATGAATTGGTCTGTAGGAAGGCTTCTTCTTCAGGTGTTAATGTTTCGCCCAATTTCTTTAAAGCTGTCAAAATTTCTACTGTTTGTTCTGTGGCCAAGTCTTTTGACATTTTACCAATCTTGGAATCACGATTTATCTGTAGAATAAAAGCATTACCCAAAGTTTAAATTACATATAGCATAGTTTATAGGTGTTGGATCTAAAATCATATTAAAATCAAACTTTATTTGGAGTTCTTGCTGATTTTCCAATATTATAAAAGGGAGATAATCACATTTTTGGCATAAAAGTAAGCCAGTTACTTTTTTCTTTCCAAGAATAAAATAAACTTACATCTGCCAAACGCTGTCTTAACTGTCCTGGTTGTTTTTTGGCAAATAATTTGATGACTTCTGGTGTTTTGAATGCCTGACTTATTGCTGCTTGTATTGCCTGTAATAAGTATTAAAGTTTGTATATCTGTGGATGCCTACATTATTTTATCCTGTGTTGTTTCGAGTTTAAATATACTAACTACCACAGAAGAGTTTCTAATATAAGAAGATGGTTCAATTAACAATGAACAAGTTGAAGCTATAATCTTCTAATAAAATGGAATACCATTAATCATAAAGGACAATCAAATTCAAGCTGTATCAACAAGTATCGGTAAATGTGTCATGATTTATTGATATAATCTATTCATAGTTTTTAGTCCAAAAATATTATTTGTAATAGTCCTATTAACATTTATTCCGCTATTCAGAGTAGATCTTATGCATAACTTTATAAGACTTACTAATTGCATTCCATTTAAAGAACTGACTAAACTTAAATTTCCTTCTAGCATTTTATCTAGTGATTCCTTAAACTCTTTCAGCTGTTCAATTGTTTCATTTCTAGTTTCTTCATATTCTTCTTCATCTAAATCATCTCTTAAAGATACAAAAATATTCATTTTTATACACCCACAATGGTGGTCAACCGTAACAAAAATCTTAAGCTTGTGTGAGAATGCTGATTATTTGGATACTGCATTTTTATATGCATTCCAAATTTAATTGGGTCACTGTTGCCTAAGTAAACTCTACTAGTCTGTGCCGGGTGTTGTTCAAGTAGCAGGCTATGCTTACTCCTTCCAGAACACACAATGCCACTTGTCCAGGGCGCACAACAGGGGGAGATGGGGGATGCAGTACACCCCCCTTCCCCCCACCCGTGCTTAGTCTAGATAGGTAAATGGGCCAATTTGTTTGCCGGATAGGTTGGGTTTTTTTGGGGGGAAAATGGGCTGATTTTCCGGAATCTTTAACACATTCAATCAAACCAAAATAAGGCCTACAATTCAATATTCAACTGAGTTGTTTAAAAATTACATAATGCTATACTTACTAACTACTTTTCAACCTAACTGGGGCTAATAATTGATTTTCTATTGCTGAGTGGGCCGATTTTTTTTATGGCGCATCCCCCCTGGGGAAAATAATTGTTTGTTACTGTGCTCATCTATGAGAGATGAACATTGTCCTCTTGATTGAGGTGGACATATAGCAAACAGTTTTATACTGAACATCCAGTTCAATCATTTTAGTACTTGGTGCATTATATTATTTCTGTTTTTTCTATGTTTAGTTAGATGGTTGTATTCTAGTTCTATGGCCCATGGCACTGCCAATTACTTTAATTGTTGAATGTATTTCGAATGGCATTTTGCACCAAATCTATAGTTTGGCCCTAAACTATTTCAGTCCCGGCCTGACAATCGATTTCTTAGGAGTCTACACGCTACATAGGAACGCATAGAATGTTTTCGAACTTGTATGAAACTATAGGGCTACCGATCCAAATGATAAGTGCTAACCGATAAGTTCTAACTAGTTAGCATCAAGCCTAAACTAAAAATGAACCTACTTGCATTCTTCTAAATCAGTTAACTGTTGTACTAATCTGTCCAGTTGTTCTTCTAAATTTTGTTTTAATTTACTGGTTTCTTGTTGTCCACGGGAGGCCATTGCTTTACATTACCTGCAAACAAAGAACATTAAAATCGATAAATTAAAAAAATGAATTTTTTTAAAATGAGATCAGTAACAAAATCAATGTCATCAATGTGATGGAGTCATCAATGCGATGGAAACAGCAGGAAGTGTCAGTGCAAGGAAAATAAATGATCCTTATGGGTTTTTTTTATAATTCAATTTTCCAGAATCGTATAAATTATCTAAATGGAACATCTGATTATATACCGTATATTATCTGAACACAAAGAACTAATATTAAAGCCAAAGGCATTACTAAAAAATCATACAAGACACCTCGTGTGCAGCCTACTGTTTCTACTTTCAATTTGTCGTCAATTGTTCCTGAAAACTGAAAGTCTACATATATTTATTCGGAAACGTGAGTATAAAGTCGTCAAAATTACAGATGAAATCTCCCACAGTTTGTACAGACTTATGCTTCAGTATATGCAAAGAATTTACACATCAAAAACAACTTCAAGTTTGGCTTAGTTGGCTAGACTGTAATGTACTGCAACTACCCCTAAGTACCACTAGGATTTCTAGTCAATAAACTCAGTCGATGGTTGGTTAAAATTTGGGAATAGTTTGTTTGACTTAGATTTTAGATAAAAGAAAACGCACTAACTCAAATATCATTACATCGTATTTGTCTATTTTGTTTATTTTCCCCCAAGTTCAAATCTGACAGTTGATATCAAAACTTTATTGAGATTTTTCTTCAATAGCCATCCCCTTTACAACCTGTTGACCTCTCTTTGCGAGAAAGGTCATCGACTACCGCGTCTATAATATCGTTGATTGATCAAAAGTCTAGGGCGGTTTATCTTAATTTTCAAGAATGCACTGTACGGCATTAAAACGAAAAACGAAAATGTTAAAACATGAAATAATTAAATGAAATAGTGTTTAGCGATCTATTTTTATACACGGATAATGAAGACGGGCATACAACAGCACAATGTGCTGTGAGGGAAATTTGGCCCGGACAGCGGGGCTAGAGGCAATTCTAATTTGGATTTCGAACACGCCAGCGTCGAATGTGTACACGTCGCGGGGCTTCGCCTTTTCGTCCTCAAACGACTAGACGCTGTTCCTTCCGAGGCCCTTCTTTAAAACAATAAAGAGAACTGAAATGCTACGGTATTATTTATTGACATGCAATAGGGAAAGGGGCATATGGAGTCAACAGAAATTCGATATGCCTACGGTATCTAACCTACTTCAATAACTTCATGCAAACCTTAAAGTAGAAAAGAAAAATTGTTTAGCAATGGGCCAGAATGATTAACAGGCCCTATATCTGATTGGGAAATATATCGACAAAACCTATGGAGAAAATAAGAAGTAATGTCCAGCGTATAGCGAGCCAAAACATTAGCCCATTAACGGCTATATAAATGTTACACTGTATATAACAGTATGATAATTATAACAAGACAAACAGTATTGCATCGGAAACTCCCTCGAGGACAGCATACAATATACAAAATATTGAATAAAAGTGCAAAAATTTGGACGGGTACAAAAATATGGACGGACATAAATTCAGAGCACTCATATAAATAGACAGTATAAAACCTGCATACATGATGCATATATTATTATATGAAAATACGAAACAAAACGTACAAAGTATAAAATCACATAACCCGACAGTATAAAACCCACATACAGGGTACATAATATATCAAAATACAAAACAAAGCATGCGCATAATATATAAAAGATAATAAAATATCATGCATATTTAACAGTTCAGATGTCTCTCCGCAAAAAAAGAGAAGTAGACAAAGGCTGCGACACTGTGGCTATAGTACTCGGTGGGTCGAATAGATTTTCAAATGAAAAGGTTGGACCAGTATTGTCAAGGGTTGGATATATATATATTGTTTTCTTAAATCTTCATATTTTTGGCATTCCATAAGAATAAGAAAATGTTGTTCAGATTCAGTTTTGTTTGCATTGCATTTTTTACAGAGGCGATCCTGGGGTGGTATCTTAAGATATCTACCTCTTTCAATGACAAGCTGGCGAGTACTTAATCGTTGGGTAGACATCGCAATTTTGAACTTCTTCTTATTAACAACCTCTAGATATTTTGGAGTGTTTTTTAATTTCTTTTTGAATAATCCGAAGGTTCTGAGTTTATGGTTCGGTCCGCAAGGAAATCGTTAAACTTACTTTCTATTGAAATTGTTGTTGGAGAAATGTCATATTTTTAAAAGATATTTTGGATAGCCGCATACCAGAAGAGTTTTGGATTCGATTGGGAAATTTGTATGTCTTCCTGGTATGCAGAATTCAGTAATGAGTTACTTAAGGTATTGCTATTTTCGTTTAGTCTTTGATAGTACATAGCCATTCTTTGAAATATATCGATATTAACAGGGAAAATTACTAATTCGGCCAAGCAGCCTATATTTGATGCTTTTAATGGCTGTGTTAGGATAGATTTACATATTTTAATGGTCATTTTATTCGTATTTATTTTATCCCAATTTTCTATCTCAAAGTTCTTACTGAACACTAGATTATCTCCCCAAACCTCTGAACCATATAAAGCTATTTGTTTCACGACTAATTCATAAAGTTTTATCAGAACATGTGTTGGAAGGCGATTAGATGTACAGACTTTATGCTTAAAGCTATATATAAACCAGACTCTCCTAGCCTTCTTTTCCAAGTTCACAATATCTGATTTAAAAGATCCGTTATCATTAATTATGAAAATGCCTAGGTAAAGATAAGATTTGACAATATCTAAATTGACGTGGCCAAAGACAAATATTTTTGTTGTTTTCTTCTTATTGTTTTTAAAGATCATAACTTTGCTTTTATCTTTATTGAGGTCCAGTTTTTGTTGTTTTCTTCTTATTGTTTTTAAAGATCATAATTTTGCTTTTATCTTTATTGAGGTCCAGTTTCCAGTCATCACAGAAACGTTTTAAATTATCAAGATTGTTCTGTAATCCTATTTCGGTAGCTGACATCAGAACAAGATCGTCAGCAAAGAGCAGATGGGATAGACCAATAGTATTTAATATAGGATAATTATCGCTGTCTGTAGAATTAGTTTAGATCATTGATATAAATATTAAAAAATGTAGGACTTAAAACACAGCCCTGCTTAGCTCCAATGGTAGAATCGATGTTATTCGAAATGGAGTTGTTGTGTTTCACCACATAAGATGTATTTTATACATATATATATATATATATAGATTTAATCAATTCAAATATTCTTCCATCAATGTCATGTTTCAGTAATAGACCTTTGCGCCAAACTGAATCAAATACTTTTGAGAAATTGACAAAGCATAAAAATTGGGGTTTCTTGAGTTTCTTGTATTTGTTGATTAGAGTCTTAAGGATGAAAATATTATCCACCGTCCTACGGCGCGCTCGGAATCCGCTCTGTGCTTGGTCAAACAGGTTATTAGATGCAATCTTGATATACGTTATTTATAATAGATAAAAAGCATTTGCTCAAGCCGCTTGCTAGCACAATTCCCTGATAGTCACAAGCGTCCTCTATTCTCCCCTTATTATGTATTGGGACTATGAACGATTCGTGCCTCTGTTCGGGAAAGCTCCAAGATTCAAGAAAAAAATTGAAAAATTGTACATCAGTCATGTACTCACATGATGCAAGAAGCATCCCATTTAGTATTAGATCGGGCCCACAAGACTTATTCCTCCTTAGTCCCGCAAAAGCTTTTCGGACTTTAATTGCAGTCATCTTTGAGTTTAGTTCCTTATTAGTTTTGTTTGATTCTAGGAGTAAATTGATAGAATCATCTGTTTCGTCACATTGTTTGTTAGATAGAGTTTTAAAGTGTCTTTCCCAACCATCAATGGATATGCCCTCATTCTTGTCATCCCCGGGTTTTCTTTAATTAACGAGTTTATTATAGTTTCCAGTATTCTTTCTGGTTTTGACTCGGAATTTTATCAATTTTTTTTAAAAATACTATTTTTGGCTTGGCGACTTTTAAATTTGGTAATCCTCTTGTACAGTTTTTTCCTACTATAATAATATTCGTCCAACCGAGGTTAACCCGAAAGTGAATAAACCTATTTCTCCCAAAAAGCAAGATTATATAATAGGGAAAAAGAAGTTGGTTAAAAAGTTTGTTTGGCAGAAAAACTCGGATCAAGATTTTTTGATTGAGCTACATTAACCAAACTCCTATACATCTATTAACCAATTCATAGTGACCGATCTAAAACCAAATCAAGATGACATACAGCTGGCAACCTCCAATATCAATAATATTCTCATTAATGGGGCCTGTGTTAAATTAGTAACCATAAAGAAATGACGAAAGAAAAATAAATGGTTTGACCGTGATTGCGAACGATTAAGACATGATATGGCGACGGCACAAATTAAACTAAATGATAACCCAACTGACAATATATTAAGAAAGATTTACTAGTTTTAATTTTGCACGATACAAAACAGTGGTCAGACAAATATGTCAGTGGTGATACCTGCATACGTGAAATTTGGTCGAAGTTCGATACGCCAGTTAGAATGTAATCAACCGCACTACACCTGTTGTAGATTATGCAAGTATATGTTCCAAGTAAATCTCCTACGCACCTACCATTTAAAATACACGTGTTAGTACTACTGCATAAATTATATGTCTACCCATAGATTAGTTTTTTGTCATTGTTATTTCTAATTTTGAGAAAATTGACGTTGGAGTTTTTGTTGATTATGTTTGGGTATGGTAGATTCAGGTTAGATTAATTACTGTCAGAAAACACAGTGTCTTCAAGATTATATCTACAGGCATTGAAATCCTCCCCAAGAAGGGTATCACCAAGAACTTTTGAGATATCTTGCTCAAGAATGTCAAATGGGCTATAATTTTCACTCAGCCATATTTTGGAATTTGGGGGAGAAATGTACACAGTTGCTATGTAAAGATCCTTTGGTAAATTTGCAATATCTTTTGGTATTAATTCAGATAATGTCCCCATCTTTTTGGTCTAGTAATTGGATTTTGTTTTTAAGATAGGTTTTAACAAAAATAGAACAGCCCCCCCCACCCCTTTGAAACTGTTGACCCTATACCTGCCGTTTTCCTACTAAAGGTTAGACCTGAATATCCTTTAAAAGCACTATCGAAAACTCCAACATCAGTTTGTTCAAAGTTGGTCCATGTTTCTACAAAACATACTATGTCTAAAATTTTATCATTTGAAATAGATCATTGTGCGTTTTGCCATTATTTATCTTCGACACGAGGCCATTGATGTTCCAGAACCCTACACTTAACACCATGACTAGTTCATTCAACAATAAGGATAAAGACAAATTTTTAATACTAATGATAAACTGGCATGCACTTAGTAACAGAATGTAAATCTCAAAACTTCTATATCTAATACAGCAGAGGCTATGCCATGTGACGAGACAATTAACAAAATGGGCTATAATAATTTATACAAGCAATGCTCAGTATAGATTAGAGTGCCTATAACTATAAGACCAATAACTTGCGATATCACCTCGGTGGAAGCGGGCGT